AAAAAAAAAAAAAAAAAAAGAAAGTTTAATTTCAGAAGGTTATATGACTCAAAGAATGGGAAATCTTTTTGTTGTTGCCGTCTGTTATTCCATTATAAAGAGGCATACATTAGCATTTGGGTCTATTACAAGGTCACATATATGTATAGGTATCTATCCAACAGGACATTGGCTTTTTTACCTAGTAATGGGCCAAATTAAGTAATGGTTTCTCAGAGACATTAGAAGTGGAGACTCTTCCCTCACCACCGTGCCTACACACACACACACACACACACACACACACACAAGTCTTCTTTTTCATTTTATGCATAGATGAGGTAATCTTGCAAGGCAAGTGATATACAAGGAACTTGATTCATGTTATTTCAAGGCAAGTGAAACAACAATAAATATTGAGCAAAGAAAGCTAATTTGTATTTAGAACATTTTAATATAGAAAATGTTTTTCAAAATCAATATAAGCCAATTGACTTTTGCCAGATTTCTTTTATTGTAATGATTAAAAATTACCCAGGACCAGATTTCTTTAAAGCTGTAACTCTATTTTCTTGATTTGCTCAGATAAGATCTTAAGGTATCATTTATGACATTTTTTAAAAGTCTATGTAGGAGTTGATAGTTATTTTTTCAAGGTTTCAATAGATTTTGGGGAAATAGTGCTCAGAGATATGTAAAGACCAGCAGATAAATCCAGAAGTTTCCACACTGAGTCAATTCATTCTGTGTATAGAGTTGAGATACTCATTTAATTAATTAGTTTTTGTTTGTATCAAAAGGAATTTTCTTGAAAGGAGCATTTTGGGTTTATGTATTTCCGATTGCAGAGCATATTTCTAATGAAAATAGTGGCAAGACTAAAAAACTCTATTTTGCCTGACCTTCATGAATCAAATTTATGTAGAATTATATTGAATCTGTTATTGTCAAACATTTGTATTAACTTTAAAGTTACAATGCCGTGCTGATCTATTTTTGACAGTTCTTTAACATCCTTCTTAAAGACATTTTCCGAGACAATGTTTCAGACTTAGGGCTGGTTAAGGAAGAAGTGCTCTTAGCTTTTGTTGCATTCCAATAAAATAGTCTTAAGCTTTCCAGTGAAATTATCATTAAACAAAAGGAATATTTTAGGGCTCTAAACTTCAATTTCTAATTTCAGGTGGTTGCTATTAGCCATTTTTTCCATTAAATTTAGCATCTTTTTTAGCTAGTAGAGAAGAGATGTTTGAAACTCGTCTTTTTTTTTAAGGGTTACTATTTTAAGGGCATTTTAAAAGGGGCTGCATCCTGCTGTATGTGAATTGGGGAGGATAGTCAAGAGTTTTAAAGTGGTAGGTGCTTCTAATGGTTAAATACAAAGTATAATGCGATGAACAAGCAGAACCAAACCAAGAGTCATGTCTATGTACCAGCTTCCATGCATAGCCGTCCTAAGAGGGCTGGGTGCTGCTCCTCCCAGAACCTTCCATCAGCCAGGCAGAGCGCAGGGCCACCTCCCTCTCCTCCCCGTTGATTGTCTCTCCCTTGGCAGGATTACATCCCCTTTAGTTTGTTTCCCAAAATATAAAACTGACCTGAGGATGAAGGTCAGAGTGGATCAGCAGACCACATACAATACCACGGGCTCCACGCCACTTTAAGGACCACACGGTGCCCTCCACACACCTTCAGGTAGTGAGGACAGAGTTGCAAATTCTATGATCACCATTCATTAGCTAGTTTAGTCATTTTATGCATTGATCTGATATTCAGCCCACATGACAAGTAGCTGTACCTTTTTGGACTTTGTCACCAAAATGACTGTATTTTTGATCACTTATGAGAAACAGCCGCTGGCACCTACTTGAGCCTGCAGCCATTTGAAAGTGGATTTCTCACTCTACTCCTTTTACTTCCACCTTTGGGTCTAAACTTGATTTTAAAAGTATTTTCATGCCACTGTTTCAAAATGAACTTGAGAAATGGATTCTTTTTCTCTCTAGTATTTTTGTGAAGTCCCACCAGAAAGCACCACCAGGAATAGTAAGTTTACATCTTGGTACAAATAGCAGTCATGCAAGTGTCCCTTGTCCCTTGATGTCAAAGAGGCATTTGCGGAGGTCCTTACAGGGTCCTTGAGACCAGTCTACTCCCATGCCTGGAGGAATCTGCCCCCTGGTGCCTGTTTTCTTGTTACTCAACATGCTGGGTACTCTTCTCCACCTTCTTCCCCATCTCCACCTCCCCTTCCTCTTCCCCCTTCTCCACCCCCACCATCTCCTCCATCTCTACCTCCACCTCTGTCTCAATCTTCATCTCCGTCTCCCTCTCCACCACCACCTCTACCTCCATCTCCACCTCCATCCCTCTTCACCTCCACCTCCTCCTCCTCCATCTCCTCCATCCCTCTTCACCTCCACCTCCTCCTCCTCCTCCTCCATCTCCTCCATCCATCTTCACCTCCACCTCCTCCTCCTCCTCCTCCATCTCCTCCATCCATCTTCACCCCCACCTCCTCCTCCTCCTCCATCTCCACCATCCATCTTCACCCCC